AGCAGTTTAGTAAAACATATGTTACCCTTGTCGTACTCATTATTCTGACTCCGATTGTTCATGATTTTACCCGACCGGGGATCGAACCAACAACCTCCGGAGTTTTGTTGTTTGAAATAGGAGTGAAAATGAACAAGGGAGATATGGGTTGGGTCATGTTTTGAAATTCTTTTAAATTGCCGGATTTTGACAAAGACTGGCACTTAAAGTGTTGTCCTGTTAAATGTGTATGAATTTCTTTTTTATTATTAATAGTATAATAACACGAAAGCTTTCTATATTAGTTTAAGAATTCTATTACGGCTTTCTGAACTGCATTATATTCTAGCGGGCTTATTGGGTCTCATTGATTGTTTATTGCTCTTCAAGTAGGCTTCATGTATCAATATGCAATATGGTGTCTACCAAAACAATATATTACATTTAAACATGCCTTGTACACAGCAGATAACAAATTTAAAACAAGATTTTGTGTCCGTATTAACAATTGCGACTTACAGTCTAAAGTTTACTTGCAAAGAACAATAGAAATGTTCCATTGATGCCATAGAAAATACATATCTTCCCAAAACACATTAGTTTACATTATTTGTGTTAAAATAATATTCTTGTTTGCTTTGATTTAGTTTTCAGTGATGTGTTGTTTGTCTATTCATTGTTCAGGAAAACTGTGTTTCCTTTTCAAACTTACACATTCTTTCAACATTACCCTTACATTAACGATGGTTTATAAATTCAATAAGATACACTTCGACCCCTATCGGCTATTGGATGATACATGATAACCTTGTATTTCTCTCAAGGTTGTTGGTTTGATCCCCGGTCGGGTCAAATCGTGGAAAATCGGAGTTAGAATAATGTGAACGACAAGGATAATCTTTTACTGAACTGCTACTTTGTGAACTAGCATGTTAAAAATCCAGTTTAAGGAAGATTTGATTAGGGTTCATTATACCCCATGTTAGTTTTTTTTTGTGTTTGCTTTTGGGATGTTTTTTTTCTTTGTTCGTTTCCTTTTTCGTTTAGTTATGTTGTTTTCTGTTTTTCTTCGACTTGTGATTTTTGTCATCCTCTACGTATTGTCTATCCTTTTTACGTTGTCAACTGTTGAATTGCACTATTAAACCATTAAGAAACAGGAGGACAGCAGTTTGGAGCTAACATTAATATGTAAAACTAATCATTGTATAGCGTACTATACTTTATTGGCTTTCCTATTTATTGCAGACCATACGATCACCTATAGTTGCTTACATCGATGTCTTGTTGTCTCTGGTTGATAGTTGGCGATAATAACACATCAATTTATTTTTATATGAAGAACCTCGCAGCTCTATTTTACGGAAGCCCTAGAGTGCCATACAAAAATAAAATTACAACTCGTGCGCACGTGTTACTAACTTGTGCTCACGAGTAACAAACATGTGCACACTAGTAAGTAACTCGTGCGCACGAGTTGTCTTTTTATATTTTGCATGGCACTCCATGGCTTTCGTACTATTTTGAAAAGCCATTTAGAATTTCACAGACGTAATCACATGACTTACACAAAGCTTCAACAATCCGGCAGGTTTGTTGACACGACCTTTATATTTTATCTATTGTGTCTTATTCCTAATTGTGACATTGTGAATGTGTATTTGCATCGCGGGTGATATATGCATGGCAGGAGACGTTTACCCTGTCAACTTATTCGGTGTTGCTGTTCATGCGATTCCCTCAGTTATTGGAACCTTGACTTGTCTTTTGATCAATTTATAAGATTTGAACATCTGTAAACATTGCATCTAGATGAACATGAATGACGCTGCAACCATCCTCATCATCGGAGGTGTTCACATTTGTTACATTTAGCTTGCTTCACACATTTTAAAGACTTACCACTAGGCATTAATAACCTTGCAGCTCTGTTCAATTGAACGTCAGACGAATCATTATTCCGATGACAAGAACATCTCCCTCTTCTAGCTAGATCCTTTTTCAAAGATGTAATTTTAGCTTTCATATTGTCCAATTCCAATTTATGATTTGAGATTTGTTCTTTTGACTTCAACGTTTCTGTTTCAATTTTTTCTCGAAGAAAAACCATCTCGCCTTTATAAAGGAAAATCAGTTATTGTTGATAGAATTCTTTTTCCTTGGAAATAAACGAAAAAATAAATAGGTTAACTAATGAATGGAAAGGCGCTTTACGAGTGTTGTAACTAATTGCTGATATCATCCTGAATTTTGTGTATTATTAGGTGACAACTTTATCATTTAAAGAAAATGGCAGGTAATCAAGAAGGTAATTATCACTCATAGCAATACATTTGTGACTGTAGGATATACATACCCTTTATGGTATCCAATTCATTTTTAGAAATGAAGAGTGATACATCCGTCGGTTGTATACTTTCAGCTAAAACTTTTGCAAAGATTAAGAAGAGAGTGTACGCTATAAATAAAGACGCCATATTTAAAGATAACTTCATTACAGACAGATAAGATATAAGGTGTCTGTTAACCACATAAAGTGACTTTTGTATTTATGTCTATCTGCAATTTAAATGTTGTTTTTCCACATTGTGCAGCTTGTTAGAAATAACTGATTTAAAAAATCGTTGTTGTTTGTCTTTATACAAATAAAAATATATTGTGTGATTGGCAATTAGACAACTCGCCACCAGAGGCAAAATGACGAAGAAATAAAAAAACTATAGGTCGCCGTACGGCCTTCAACAATGAGCAAAACCAAAACCGCACAGCAAGATATGAAAGGTTCGGAAATGACAAATGTACAATTCAAACGAAAAAATAACGACCTGATTTATGTAAAAAAAAACCCTTAACGGAAAAAAAAACATTATGATATACAGCCATTAACGACAAACACAGAATTACAGGCTCCTTACTTGAAAAAAGCACATACAGAATGTTGTGGGGTTAAACATGTTTGCGGGCGCACAACTCTCTCCATAACCTGGGATAGTCGTTTAACAGCACGATAAAAGAACTAGCTATGAAAATCAGTTGAAAAAGGCTAAACTCATCAAATCGATACAAAGCATAAAAACAACTAACAAAAACAGTGTTTACTGACTGTTATTGAAAGCTAGTTTCAAGCTAATAACAACTAGTAAACATCATGAACTAGTATCTAAGACTAATTGGATTTGGTGTAAAAAGGTTAAAACAGTCAGAGAAAAAATTACCTTGTGCAACGCAAAAATATAGGTATCGACAGAATGTAGTACCGTGAATATTCAAAGATGTAAAGCAATAATATTGAGTTGGGTTTTGTTTGTTTATTTATTTCTTATTTTATCAGAGGAGTCAAGTGTTGGTATGGTCTGTTGGGCTGTCCAGTTTTTTGGCTTTACTTTAAAAAGCATAGACGTTATAGACAATTGTGATTGTCGATGTATTTTGATAAAGTTTGTGAAACGAATTCCAGGGAAAATGTAACATTGTAGCCAAAGTTTAATTATAGATTATCGTTGTTTTTTTCCAACGCGAGAGTGTTTCTCAGCCACAATCTCATCGAAGGGCGACAGCCCTTAGATAAGATGTGGCAGAGAGGCATCCTCGAGTTTGAGAGACCATTGATAATCTGTTTATCGCTATTTTGTCTATGACGTCGTTGATGTTTACATTGACAACGGCACGTGCGTCCTTAGTTTCTTACGATAAATTTCTATCTCAAGGCAGTAACGTAATTTGAAAAATTATCACAAAAAAGATAAAGGGAAAATAAATAAAATAGCGATAATCGATTTTTATCAACTGTTTTTCAATATGTCCAATGCAGTATTCTTGCAAGGATTACGACAAATTGTGATGCAAGGAAAAGATACTATGCTATGATGGATGAAGTTGCACAAGGTCATGTTTTTCTCTGACTGTTAAAGACGTCTTTACACTAAATCCATTGGATGTTGGATGTGTACTGATTGATATTTTAGTCTTAGATACATGATTTTTTATGAGTTGTTTTTGGCTTTGAACTAGATGTCAGTAACTGCGAGAACTCTCAGATCTGTACTTAGTGTCCTTTTTGTTGTTAGGGATGAGGGATGGATAAATTCCCTGCCACGCCCGGTCTGTGTATATATTTGATGTTTTTCTGCTTTGTACCGATCTGGTGAGTTAAGCCTTTTTCAACTGATTTTTATAGTTTGTTCTTATGTTGTGCTGTTACACCACTGATCCAGGTTAGGGGAGGGTTGAGTGCTCACAAACATGTTTGACCCCGCCACTTTCCTTATGTGCCTGTCCAAAGTCAGGAGCCTGTAGTTCAGTGGTTGTCGTTGGTTCATGTCTGTCATATTTGTTTTTCGTTAATTGTTTTGTTATAGATTAGGCCGTTAGCTTTCTCAGTTGAATTATTTTATAACTTTCATGTCGGGGCCTTTTGTAGCCGACTATACGGTATGGGATTTGCTCATTGTTGAAGGCCGTACGGTTGCCTATAATTGCTTCAATCCAGTTTATTTGAACTTTGGTGGATAGTTGTCTCATTGGCAATCATACCTCATCTCCTTATTTTTATATAAGAGTTACTTTTCTAAGTATATTTTGTTAGGAGTCTGCTAATACTCGTTTGTAAAATCACTTGAGCACACCTTCAAGTAGGTTTTGATATGAGCTTATTAGTTTTTCTCATTGCTTAAGGCCGTACGGTGGCCTATAATTGTTTACTTCTACTTTATGTTAACTCTGGATGAGGATGCTGATTCATTTGCAATCATACCACATCTCCTAATTTTTATATCATTGCAGATAACTTCCAAAATGTTACTAGCTGAGCATAGAAAAAATATACGGCGTGTTGGTACATTCCATGGTATATTTGTAAATAAATGTTAAAAAGTACAACAAGTGACATGTACAATGCTGGATAATTATATATAATCCCACTTGAAAATGTTAACTAGGTACTTGAAGAGACGCCTGTAATTGATTGTTTGTAATAACACAGTAACAAGAAACGTATGATACGAGTTTATGGTTTTATAAGTGCATCAACTTATTGGTTATATGTATGTCATAGTTTATTTTACTACTTTTGTTATGCACTACACAAAATGGACCGCCGAAAGTTAGTTAATGTAGATCATCAAAATGATCAAGCTACTTCTTATAACGGTAATAAATGGAGTGTAATAAGAGTGCTGTATACCATAAAATGGACATCGTGTTTAATTGGTTTAGCTACAGGATGTGTAATAACAGTTGTTATGACTCTGTCTCTAATGCTAATTATAGCACCATATTTGCAGTTTCACAATGAATTGAATTCATCAAAAGGTGAGTTACTAATGACTTAAAAGAAGTGAAATGTTTAAAGAATTATTTCACATTTTTATGTTCATCAACTGCGCAATGCACTGGTGTTTACGTCAAACTTGAACGGGATTCCAATTCTGAAAATATGCAATATGCATTTTGATAATTTACAATTTACATTTTTTAACCGCATATATGCTGTCGTATTACCGTGCCGTCACCGAGTGATACAAATCGTTTTTGCTATTTCTCAGTCCATACGTGGTAACTGTATCATGGAATACGAAAAAAAATAATAGTCGACTTTTAGTTAGATAATTGTTAATTAGCCATCACTCTATCTACCAATGACTTCCATAGGTATTGTTTTCCATTATCAGGAGTCCTTTGTTTAGTCGTAACTCGTAGTAATATTTTCAATTATATTATCAGAAGGAAGATAAAGCATAAACTCTTCCCACAGTTTGCAACCATCATCTTGCTAGGGCTTCACAGACAGTCAGGATTGCCAACGCAGTAGTATTCTTAATCATTAATATTAGAACTTATACTGTGTATGCTATTTCTTACCATATATAGAACTAAGAAGTGGAACAGTGCAAAACAAAAACGACTTAATATTTATTTTTCATTTTAATATTTTTTACAATGGTGTCTGCTTGGAGGTGTGTTAATTATTACATCTGCAGTAGAAGTATGTTTTGATCTATTTTATTCAGGAAATGATGTGTGGAGTAGTTATGGCGACTGGACCTGGCAACCTTGTTCCGTTACTTGTGGCCACGGTACTCAAAAGGGAGAAAGGTCAAGGTCATGCCTTAGCGAAACGTATTGTGTAGGCAATGAGATAGAAACTATGACCAAACCTTGTGATATTGGACACTGTCAAGGTATTACATATATACTTAAAGGACTCATAATGTTGAAAGACACTCAATTGAAACTCTTTTCTTTAGCCTACCGGTTTACTTACATTTACTTTGCGTCGACGTTTTGTGAAATCATGTTTCCTATTATATTGATGTTTAAATGGGAAATAACTAAATATTTAAATTAGTTATAAATATCAACAGTTATAAAGAGTCACTGCTTTGCTATTCAAGTTTTTTTTTAATCTGACCATTCGGTATATGGGTTTTGTTCATCATTAAAAACTGTCGTCATTCACATCTTCATTATTTGTTTTTATGAAAAATAGTTGTGTCATAAGCATTCATGTCAATTTGTTTTATTTTCATACCTAAACGAGGGAAAAAGATATGTCAAATAATTAGATAAATAGATAAAGTTAAAATTAACAAGAAAATATTCCCGTATGTTTTTGAAACTGAAAATAAAGCTGCAAAATTAAATTCCTTCATTCTAGTTGATGGACATTGGAGTGACTGGATAATGGATGGACCTTGCAGTGTCACATGTGGTACAGGCACACAGAACAAGTTTAGGGAATGTTCCAATCCATATCCTCAAAATGGCGGAAAGTCTTGTAGGGGCCAAAGAACTAAACAAACAGAATGTAATCAACAAGAATGTTGCCCTGGTAAGACATCAGCTGATTTCGAAAGACATAACTGCACAGTGAATGTAATAGACAATCTAAATTTTATGCTTCTGAAGCGCTTTTCCCACATGAACAACTATACCATAATACATTTTGTTTGTTGGTCGACACAGTGTGTCGATTTTCAGCTAAAAGTTAATCGTATTAGTTTATAAACAAATACTTGGCAATCAAGTTTTCATTTGACAAGTCTTATTCTTCAGTAACTTCCCAATTTGAACTTAACCTTAAAGTCATTGAGAACATATGATACTAGAATCAACGTCCAAATATTTCAATAAAAGCCTGTCATTCGACAGTTTGATAATGCATTATATGATTTGGTTATGGTTTCAGGAATAACAAAACCAGACAATCTACAATGTGAAAACGGTTGGATACGAAATGATGACTTTAATGCATGCTATTGTTTCAGTAAAAGACAGGCTTCATGGTTTACCGCTCAGGTAATTTTTCAACAGTTCAAATTGTGACAAAGAGTAGTACCCAAATGATCTACTAGTGGAAGTTGTCCACGTTTAATTATGTGAATGTGTATGTGTGTTTATCTGTGACAAAATATCCTGATAATTACAAACATTTTTTAGTGTATGACGATACTATTTTAATACGATGATTCAATACTGGACACTTTATGTGACAATGACTGCAAATATTCTTTCTGCAGTGGAAATTTAAAAACAAACCAACCGTGATATATTTTAGCCGACCGTGGGTAGCCAAAGAGAGGCGAAGGATACCAAAGGGACATTCAAACTCACAAGTCGAAATTAAACTGACAACGCCATGGCTAAAAAGAAAAAAACAAACAAACAACAGTACAAAACTCAACACAGAAAACCAAAGACAGAGCAACACAAACCCCAATGTCGTTAAAAACCCCTCTCGTCGTATTTACACCATTAGCATGTGATGTAAAGGTTTGCTACTCAGAAAGTAAATCAACTTCTTGGAAACTGAAATCGTTATGTTTGTGGCGGAATACTCTTTAAAATCTGTTGACAGGTGTAGATCAAGATAGCAAGTCGCGCCTATTATATCCATAGTGCATCCATAATTTGTTGTTCAATTGGTTCGACGAGATGAAGATAAGCTTTAAATTTACAATTCTTTAAAGAAAGTGCATCAGCAACGTAACACAAGCTATATAAATCGCAGGTGTGTCATTTATTTTTTTATTTGTAAAAGGCATTGTAAAGACTGTGCTTGATACAAAAGGAGGACACATCAGCACATATAGTAAACAGTGCACATACAATACCCATAGAAATGTTATGCAACTGTTTATTACAAGTGCTGTTAATTAATGCTTATCCTGTCGATGCAATGCCTTTTTAATTTTTTGCGATGTACAAGGTCATGCGGTCATTTTTTTTAAACTTTTTATGACGTTTTCTACTTTGTTCGTTGGATAACTACTGATTGACATTTCATTCTGGGAACACAATCATGATGTCTTTAATATTTGTAATATGCTAGATTGTCTTTTCGTAGTCTTTCGTTTTTCGACTTGTCGTTGTCAGTTTATTAGCTTTGAAAGTCAACTAAGTATCTTCCGCCATTTTTTTAAAACTAGTGAAAATACATAATGAATATTTGCATGAGTGATCTACATTTTTGTAACATAAAGCCTTGAGTACCTAAAGATAGATTTCAATCCATCTTTCATACTTTTGTTCGGCGGTTTGGTATAAATGGGACAACACGTAACATGTAATGGACAGTCGAGGTTTTTAGTCGAGAGACAAAAATATGATTTTATATGTGAAATATGCCCAAAAAGGGGAAGAAAAGAAACAACGTAAGTAACACAAGTGACAATAGTGCTACATACGATCCAGATGAAAAGAAACCAAAGAAAAAGAAGGCGAAACAAAAAACTCAAACTCAATCAACATGCCCCAATGACGGTGGAAAAAACAGGTGACATTACAAATGTAAACAAACAGTTAATTAGTACTCACTTTGATAAAGGCGATTTAAACAGTTTATTGCAAGAAAATATGATGAACAATATGAATCAGTCTAACTTTTCATAAGACACTATCTTTTACTGTCCTAATCCAAATAATATGTTTCCTAGTAAAAGTCAACAGATGTGTTCCACGCCAAACACTGGAATGATTCCTATGCCTATGCAGCACGTCTCGCCCCAAATTCATTCCACTATGCAACAAAGACAACAGTGGGTAGTCGAACTATTTAGTAGAATAGACAGATTTGAAAATAAGTTAAATAAATTAGACCAAATTGACAAGTTAGTAACCAGTTTTAATTCAAAAGTGACCAAGCGCCAAAAACTCTCTATCAAATTTTAAAAATGATGTTGACAAATTAGCAATGCAGTAGAAAAACAACCATGCGAATGATGAAAAGTTGAGCAAAACAATAGATCAAGTAAAAAAGGAAAATGACAGGTAACAAAATGAGTTAACTGATGCCTATATGAGTTCTATGAGGAATTATCTTATACTTTACAACATTCCAAAAAATGAAACGGATTTGTGTTCAGATGTGGTTTTGGAATTCAGTGGTCAAAACTTAAAAATTGAAAAACCTGCAGATAAAATTACAATATTTGATTCGTTCTGATTGGGAAAGAAAGGTGAAAAAATAGACCAATCCTTGTAAAGTTTGCAAATTTTGAGATGCGGTATCTTGTAAAGAAAAGTTCGAAGAATTTGAAAGATTCACCTTTTGAAATATCTGAACAATTACCGTTAGAAATACAAAAACGTCGAAAAGAAAAAAAATACAATTACTGAAAGAACTGTGCTCCAGGGATATCAAGGCATATTTTGTGAAGGACAAAATTTGTGTGGGTGGTCAAGAGTATACTCCATAGTGACAGCACAGGGAACAATTGAGCAATTTAAAATGTTTAAGTTGAAATGTACATGGTTTAACCTCTTGTTGTGAAGACAATGTTTTTTTTTAATTTTGCAAATAAATACGAATTTTTGTTTTTATGTGAAACTTGGTTACAAGAAAATAATATTATAGAAATAGAAGGTTTAGTGAAATTATTATGTTTGAATAGAAATGTTAAAGTAGGTACTCGACATGAAGGTGGATTGGCTATATTTTGTAAATCAAAATTAACTAATGGTATTTCTATAGATAGAGAGCTATACTGTGGTATTGTTGTAATAAAACTAAAACATGATTTTTTTAATACTGCAAATGATATCTACATATGTTTTTCATATATTCCACATGAAAAATCAAACTTTTATAACAAATGTGATGTTGATTTTTAGGATATTATAGAAAGTGTATGTTTAGAGTATAAAGAAAAGGGTTCATTTTTAGTGTGTGGCGACTTGAATAGTCGTATTGGTGAAATTGATGTTTTATCAAACGATAACTTAGATTTGTATTTAGATAGTGTAAACCACGTTGAAACCCCATTGTTCCGAAAAGACACTCCGTAGATAAAACCATTAACGCATTTGATCGAAAACTTTTACAGTTATGTTATAATACTGAACTTACGATTGCTAATGGAAAATTCACATTCTGTACAATGAATGGCAGGAGTGTCAATGACTATCTACTTATTTCACCTAGCGATTAAAAACTTATTAAGAATTTTGATGTGCTGAACTTCAACGAATTTTCTGATCACGCACCATTATTATTTGAACTTCAATTCCGAAATTTTAGACCTGAGTTATCGTTTCCTAAGATTCGCAATTACATAAAGTGGGATATAAAAAGATCTAATGAATATATAGATATTATGTACAACAAAAACAAAATAATTTATTGTCTATAGTGAATAACAGTACTGGTGAAATGACTTAAATCATGCTGGCTGTTCAGGAATTTACCAAAAAATTTATTTGATAGTGCACATAAAGTTTTTGGCAGAACCTTGTTGATACGTCAAGATGAAAATAAAGTTAGGCCGAACAACGAGTGGTTTGATAATAATTGTGCGAATGCACGTGATGACTTTCATGTGGCTTGAAATTATTTTCCATCACCCGTCAGACGTCAACAGAAAGGCATACGTTATTTCACGAAACAACTATAATAAAATGAACCGAAAAGCACAATTTAAATACAAACGTCGGAAAGGTATCGAACTCTGAGATTTAGCTAGTACAGAACCGAGAAAGTTCTGGTCGTCGATAAAACGAAAAGGGAATTTTAAGTGTAAAATTGATAATGAAACCATGATGAAACACTTTGAATCGATACTAGGAGATAGTTCGCAAGATCTATGTGAAGACGTTCGTAATATCATAGACTACGGTATTTAACGATATAAATGTTACTCAATTAGACTGTGAAGTTACTGTAGACGAAGTAATAGCATCGATAAAAAAATAAAGTCCGGTAAAAGTTCGGGTAACTATGGACTAATAAGTGAAATATTTTTTGCCTGTCCTTACGTATTTGCGTATTTGATTATTTCTTTGATTATTACGAAAAAAACACTCATAATAAGAATAAAATCAATTGCAGAATAATTATACACTAAGAAAAGGGTATTTTATATCATATGTTCAGGATCAATAAGACCCACGTTAATTACATGGGTCTTATTGATCCTGAACATATGATAAAAAATACCCTTTTCTTAGTGTATAATTATTTTTGCAATTGCTGGTTTTTTTTATTATGAAAGTGTTTTTTTCGTTATAATCAAAGTTGGATTCATTAAAAGTTGGCTAGGATTCTCAAAATAGTTTGAACAAAACGATAGATTGTTTTAATCTGTCGTAATATAATTTGAATACATCGATAAACTGTTTAACTGTGCTTTGATATAATTTGAATACAACGATGAATTGTTTAACTCTTTTTTAATATATTTTGAATACAACGATAAATTGATTTACTCTGTCTTAATTTTTCAGGTGTATTGTAGACAACAAAACGCCACACTATCAACAGTATATTCCAAAGCCGAATCTGACTGGCTGTCCCTTAAAATACGAATCCTTATCGGTAGGCAAATAATTTTACACTAAATGTAAAAATATATTTCATATATTCTGATTTGAAAATGAATAGGATTCAAATCCTGCATCGTATTGTAGTACCCCTTTTGTTGGATGCATATTTCAAACCTTTTTTACGGTATTTAAAAGGCCAAAAGTTTGAAAAGGTAATTCAAAAGAATGCTTAATCGCAGAATGACTATTTGACTTGAGGATTTATACCGGTTTTATTCAAGATAAAGATCGACTTATTTGAATTGGATTTATTTCCCTTGGAGTCCATGTTGTTGTGTAACCCGATTCATTTTTTTTTTTATATTTTAACAGATCATATTAAAACATGAGCTACAAGCTTTTCTTAGGACATCGTTACTTTACATTTATTTTTCACTACTGTAAAACTTTGATAAAGATAATTATGATATAACGTTTTGTTCTTGTGTATTATTTTCTATTCTGTACATATACAAACACAAGTACATTGCAAAAATAATAACTTTATGAGATTGTATTTTGATTTTAGGTAGAGATGTATGGATCGGAGGGAAAAAGGTCAGATATGAATATAAATGGATTCTTTCATCGGGAGACGGCAGAATGAATTTTACAAACTGGGCTCCTAACGAACCAGTGTTGTACCCGATACATAAAACTTACATATGTGTACAAATATGGCAAAGTTCTGAATATCAATGGGATGACTTTGACTGTGGTTATAAACAGTCATTCGTCTGTAAAAATAATGTGTAAAATGAATAGAGTATATGGTTTGAAAACAAGACACTATCTACTGTCATTCTCTCATTAATAACATTGTATCATGCGGCGTACTTTAAATCGTCTAGTTGATCCTAGATGGCTAGTTTGACTGTTTGATCAAATAAAACCCACTTTATTACTAGATAATTAGTGGCTAATGGACAAACACTTAAAGGAAAATGCAAACATGGCCAAACATATTTTGGATAAAAATATATTTATATATTAAATAATGTACAATAATATTATTTATTTGTGCATTTTTCTGTGCTGAGTGTTCTTGCCTCTGTTTGTACTGTATTCCTGTCACGTAATGTTGTCATTTTAACGATATTATTTTAACATTGCCATATAAGCGGGAGGTTTAGCTAGCCATTAAACCAGGTTCAACCCACCATTTTTTCCTAAAATGTCCTGTACCAAGTCAGGAATATGGCAGTTGTTATCAAATAGTCCGTTTCTATGTATGTTGGCGTTTGTTTTTGTAGCAGTTCAGTGTTTCTGTTGTTCCGTTGTTTTCCTCTTATAGTTAATGTGTTTCCTTCGGGTTTTTTTTTTTGTTTTTTTTTTAAATAGGTACTTGTTTATTCCAAATATTTCCTGTTTACAATTTCCTGTTGCCCAGGAAGCAGACTAAGGATCCCCGTTTACAATTAAACCAACTGCCCGGCAAGCAGGAGGCTAAAAAAAAGTCCACTTTGTTCTTTAAGATACGATTTTTATTTGTAACCCGGATTTGTTTTTTTTCTTAATCGATTTATGACTTTTGAACAGCGGTATACTACTGTTGCCTTTATTTATTCAGAGCTACAGCAGCTTTGAAAGATTTTATGGTTCAGTCTTATAAATTCGTGAATATAGAATATCAAAGAAAGTTGTGCTTTCCAAACAAATCCTGTCATTTTATTAAGAACACTTCGAATGACTAGTAAACCATCATGTACTACAAAAAAATAGGAATCACCACTAGTGTTACTGTAGATTGGTAGTTTTATATTCAACAAAACTTCGTCAAAGATATCATGCTCACAAAACGACCTTATATAGATGCATCTTCTTTTACTTAATTACTAGTATACATTACTAAAGAGAAATGAATGCTCATACCTCTATTTTTGTGTCAATTGTCAAAATGCGCATCTTCTGTAGTGAAATTGAAACATTTGATATTATTACACGTCAACTAAGCTCGCAGAAGAGACATGAACTACAATTCCATAATTGATGTAGTGTTTTGCCATCTTCACGACAAAACACTCTAGCATTTAGTAGTGCACATATTGCATCTAATTGGGTACATCTTTTGGTTTTGATGCGCATTTCTGGATTTACCTTCACCAGGAAATTAACTTCGATTGGTGAAACACAGGCGCGTCGATAAATATGGCATCGTGTACTATGTCTTATGACAGAACATATTAATCATGTCATTTATGATGAGTTTGTTAACATCCTTCATGCGATTGTAAAACTATGCGATAAATAAACACTGATGAAACCTTCCTTCACGTGTTTCCCTTTATTCTTCTTTTTGAAGTCCCTAATGAGTTATTCATATAAAGGTTATTTCGGTACAAAATTGGAATACATTTATCTATTTTCTGAAGTTTGTAGATTACTGTTAATGTTCGAAATGATTTAGTAACTTCTGTGGCAGTAACATTCCTCTATCAAGGAAATGCTAAAAGAAAACGCCAGCTCCTTTTCTCCTTAAAATGCTTTATTCCAAATACACGAATTGTTTTGCTCTGTAAATATTTCACTTAGGTCTTATTGTTGTACAAGATGCATGTATTTACAATACATAAAACAATATACACGTTAAATTAAAAAGTAAGTCTGAAATGAATAATATTACTCTTATCACTATTAAAGACCTTGTTATTCCTAAAACATCAATTTCTTAGGGCATCTAAAAAGACTTACAACATTCACAAATTGTGTTACAAGTGTAAGCATGGTCTAGTTATCCAAGGGGAAATTTGTCAACAAGCAATTATCAAACTATTTGTTTATAATTAGTAATTTAGAATCGTGCATCTATTTGAATTGAGAAAACACTGCGAGAGGCATTCAAGTTGTTTTATGTCATAGCTAAATTATACGACGGGTGCCTCATGTGAAGCAAGATCTGCTTACCCTTCCTGAGCACTTGAGATCACCCCCGGTTTTTGGTGGGTTTCGTGTTGCTCAGTCTGTTCTACGTTGTGTTTCTATACTGTTGTTTGTTTTGTTTGTTTTTATTTTCGGTTTTTGCCATGACATTGTCAAATCGTTTTCTTTTTTTTTAACGACATTATATATTTATTCACCAAATATGCTTGTTACATTGTTACACAAAGAAACCAAGCTTTTCTTGATGTATCCTGTTATATTCCACTGATTACCCAGGTTAGTAGTCAGCTGCTGGTATATATGTATATATTATAATAATATGTATAAATTTCTTGAAATACAATTTTACAACATTTTAATGCATTATGTTTTATTCTATTCCATCGTCTAAACTTCTTTTTAGTGACTTCAGTAATGGATTAAATTTCATTGTTCTGTTTTCGTTATATCTTTTAATGTATTCTTGAACAAAAATTTGATAAACATTTACATTTGTCAATTTCTGATTAGATACATAATATGATTTATAAATAGAAAAACCTAAAATTGTTAGGAAATAATTCAGACCAAAATAATTTTTGTCAAAAATTTTATATCCGAAGACTAATTGCTTTAACGATATTCCAAAATTTAAATTTGATTTTATCATTAACTCATAAATACTTTTCCAAAATTTTTCTAAAAATCGACAAGAAATAAAAAAGTGGTTATAATCTTCTTCTTCGTTACATACATTACATAGACCGTCATTCTTCTGTTTCCATTTAAACAATAAGTGTTTTGTTGGTAATATGAATTGTAAAAGTTTCCATCTATATATTTTTAACTTATTCTCTTCTAAATAATGAAACATGAAAACATATAGTTGGTTAATACTAAGGTTCTCATTAATTTGTAAAATACGCATCCATTTGCTAACACCAATTGATGGTTCAATTTTATCTTTACAAATTGACTTATATAATATATTTGTTGAAAAGCTTGAAGCCTCAATGTAATTTCCTTTCCAGATCAGTTTCTGTCTAGGAATATTTACAATACTTTTAATAGAATTTTCAGACTTTAACGTCTGAAGCCAGTCTTTTGGGATGGCTTTTTTAAAAATATTTATTTCTGCAATCCAATTATTCTTGCAGTCTAATTTTTGCAGAATAAAATGTTGAGATATATTACCATTGTCATCTTCAATATCATTGACAAATATCAAGTTACTCTTAATCCAATTTTCAAAAATAATGGTTTTATTTTCGAAATTAATCAGTTTGTTCCCCCAAATTACCTGTTTTCTTATTTCTGTGAAGTTGGTAGGTTTTTTTGTCTGTCCACCACCTGATATTACCCAACATTTAAATACTTCTCTATAAAATTCAGGGATGTGTTTTATATATTCTATAATTTTCTTCTTTTCAAAATTCATCTTAAAAATCAACCAATTAATACCCACCACACTGAGATATTTTAATGGAATCAACTTCCAGTTTGAAATATCATTACTAATGAGTTTACTTACCCAAGATGCTTTCAGAGACATAAAATAACTTTGTATGTCGATCATTTGTAACCCCCCTTCTTCGTATGACTTTATCATGGTATTTCTTTTAACCTTATCTGGTTTACCATCCCAGATGTATTTATAACATTTAATTTCTACATCTTTTCTAAATTTGTCTGGAACTGTACAGGCATTTGCCAGAAATGTAAAAAGTGGTAAAACTAATGTTTTTATAATAAGAATTTTCCCGATTAAAGTTAAATTACGTTTTCCCCATAAATGAAATAATTTATCCATTTTCTCAATTTTATTCTCCCAGTTTAATTTTTCACATTCTTCTCTGTTATGACCAAAATATATTCCTAATGCTTTGACTGGTTTATTTGTCCAATTAATCCCGGCTACCTTATCTTTACTATTTTTCAGTTTTCCTATCCATATACCCTCTGTTTTATTTTTATTCAAAGTTAACCCAGAAAATGATCCAAAAATTTCTATTTCATTCATAGCAGCTTTGATTTTCTTCTTATTACTGAGAAATAAAGTCGTATCATCAGCTAATTGAGAAATTTTAATGCTATGATTTTTATTATCTAGTTTAACTACGAACCCTTTGATATCTCTGTTTTTTCGAAGTCTTAAAGCCATGATCTCCACGGATAAGACGAAAAGAAGAGCTGATAAGGGACACCCCTGCCTTATTCCTCTTGAGTTATGAAATATTTCTGAGATCCATCCATTATTAATAACACAAGTTTGTAACCGAGTATATAATGTTTTTACCCAGTTTATAAATGATTCATTAAATCCAAAATGTTTCAAAGTGATTAACATAAAATCCCATTCCAAGGAATCAAAAGCTTTAGTAAAATCTACAAAAACTATTGCCCCTTCAATCGAATATGCGTCCGCATAGTCAATAATATCTTGAATTTGTCTCAAATTAAAACCAATAAATCTGTTTTTAATATACCCTGTTTGATCTTCATGAATAATTTTTGGTAGTATCTTCTTTAAGCGTTGTGCTAGAACAAAAGACAATAGTTTTAAATCTACATTTAGTAGGGAAATTGGCCTATAATTGTCCAACAATAAATGATCCCCCTTTTTAAACAATAATGTCAAAATACTAGTACGTTGTGAGTGCGATAAACTTCCTTTTTCATTACCAGTGTTTAAAACCTTGACTAGAAAATATCTTATTTTTTCCCAAAACATCTGATAAAATTCAACTGTAAGACCATCTAGCCCTGGTGCTTTATTTAATTTCATTGCATTACTAGCTGAAGTACATTCTTCCATTGTTACTTCTCCGTCACAAACTGATTTGTCAACGTTATTTGAATTAATTTCTAATTCAGTTTCACAAATATAATTTTCGACTAAATCTTTCTTTTGACATTTTGAACTGTACAGTTTTTCATAATATTGCTTAATTTTTGTTAATAAATCGGCCTGATCTGTTGTTATATTTCCATTCTCGTCACTCAGTTTATTTATCGACTTTTTTACCTGTCTCTGTTTTTCTAAACCTAAAACATATGCATTGTTTTTTTCCCCATATTCAACCCATTTCTCCCTTGACCTAACCTGTGCACCTCTAGCTTTCTGTTCGTATATCTTACCTATTTTTAATTCTAAATCTTTTATTTCTGCATCTAAATATGCATCCTCCTGAGGTAATGCATCTCTTAACCTATTTCTCTCTTCCAGTTTTTTTTTCTAGTTCCCGACTTAGTTCTCTGTTTGCTTTTGCTTTATTTTTACAATATGCTATGCTTACCTCCCTTATTTCTACTTTTAAAACGTCCCACAATAATTGACAATCCATATTATTATTTCCATTAGTATATTTATGAATAAGATTACTTATTAGCTCTTTGTATTTTTCCTCTTTTAAAATAGAGTTGTTAATCTTCCAATATCCCTTTCCTCTTTCTGACACACCAGATCTAATACTTAAGAAAACGCTTTGATGATCAGTAGAATTAATTGCAGCTGGTTTAATTTTACAATTCTCTACTAATGACTTGAAATCTGAGCCAATTAATATCATGTCTATTCTACTTGCCTGAGTTTTATCTCTCCTTCGCCATGTAAATTGTTGAACGCTTTGATTCAAACATCTCCAAATATCAATTAGTTTGTTTGATTTTAACATTAATTTCAAACTATTTACTGGTTTTGAAATCTGGCTATTTGGTCGTGTTGTTTTTCTATCTATAACATTTAAAGTATCATTGAAATCTCCCCCAACTATCGGTATACCGATACCAAATTCCTTTATATTATCACTTACCTTTTTAAAAAACGTATTTCTAGATGCTTTATAATTTGGTGCATATATACATACCAAAGTGAATATTGTGTCGTCAATTTGTATATTGAGCAGAATTTCTCTCCCGTCAGTGTCTCGATTTTCATTAATAACAGTAACGTTTAAACTACTCCTAATTAAAATAGCGACCCCCCTACTTGCTGTCGTGCCATGACTGTAGAAAATATTAAAATCTTTATGTTTCGACATTTCTTTACTAACATTTTCGTCAAAATGCGTTTCTTGCAAAAAGCAATGTCACATTTATGAACTTTTAACCATTCCATAACCCTCTCTCTTTTATTTCTATTGTTTATACCATTTACATTGAGACTACATACATTTATTAAATTTTTCTGAACCATATTGTGTTATCTAATCAATTTTCAAGCATGTTAAATAAAAATACTACAGTGTGAAATATATACAATACAATACTTCTACATCGAAGTATGATTTGTTTTCTTTTCAACATGAACAATAACAAAATACTACAATTACAATATCGTTTTCGACTTACCGGTATATGATTTTGAATGTCCCTTTGGAATCTTTTATAATGTCTGTTTTGTTCACGCATCGTTGTAAATATAACGGAATTTGATAAGACTGTCGTACAAGTGAGAGGTTTAGCGCTATAAAACCAGGTTCAATCCACCATTTTCTACATTTGAAAATGCCTGTACCAAGTCAGGAATATGACATTTGTTGTCCATTCGTTCGATGTGTTTTGTCATTTGATTTTGCCATGTGATTAGGGACTTTCCGATTGAATTTTCCTCGGAGTTCAGTATTTTTGTGATTTTACTTTTTACCTCTCTTTTGTTTACTTTGCTCCTTAGATATTTTGTTTGATTGGGTTTTGTTATATGATTGTTGTCGTGCATTCATTTTGACGTAAATCCATGAAAACGACATTTGTATTTATCCGATTTAATTGTATATAAAACAAGCAAAATTCTTAATCTACGTTTATATACAAATAAATATTACAAAGAGTATTGTAGCTATAACTGTACTGATGATAGCGATATTTATGTATGCTGACCATTGCAAACAGGAAAACTCGTCATCAGGAATAGCTATAAACTGATTAATTTTGCCATCTTCGTTTTGACATGTGACTTCAGTTATATTTTGAATCGACGAAATTCTGTTCAGCATCCATTTCTTCAGCCAAAGCGTTTTACAGTCGCATTTAAGTGGGTTGTGGTCAAATTTTAATTGGTCTAATGTGAGTGATTGTAAACTTTTAGGAATATAAAATATTAGATTTCTATCTAATTTTAAAATTTTCAAGTTCGGCATTTTACGAAAAATATCCGAATCAATTTCAGACAAAATATTGTCAGACATACATAGTTGTCTTACATAGAAGAAATATTTTTTAAAATTTAATGTCGTTATATTATTCAAATCCAACCATAGGTCGACCATACCTGAAGGAGCACTTTTAGGGAGATGAGAAAGTCCTCTATTTCGGCAATCGATGGTTGTTACTTTGCTTTGTGCATATCTGAAACATTTACAATCAGACGGACAGTTATTACTATAAATAACATTATAAACATCTTCTTCTTCGATTGTCAAGACTGCCTTTCCATTGACCTCTTTCGGGTGACCACAAATCCAATCTGTATAGAAATATTCTTCTCCATTCCAATGCCCAAGGTCTTTGAATCCTTTCATTAATTGATTGAAGGGAATAATATCAGAAAGACACATAAATTTATTTTCATATAGAATGAATTTAAAATGTTTGAGGATAATCAATAATGTCTCTTTAGAAGTCGAATCAAGACCATCGGGAATGAAAAATCCAGAAATATTACTGCCCGTTAGATCTAAATTTCTCCATGTGTTTGTAGTTTCAAATATGTTAGCAAAAAGAGGACTAGTCGACCGTATAATACTTCTTATCAGCAATAAACGATCAACACGTCTCAGAATGGTGTCCAAATTGCTAAACGACAAATTAGTATATCGTAATTCTGCCTTTTCCAAACTTCTGATATACAGTATCGAAACAGGAAAATCTTGCAGTGGATTATTATTGAAACTAACAGATTTCAGTTGTACACTATGTATTGGAAGAATAGTATTGCTTACTGTTTTAATTAAGTTATTGTCCATATCGAGCCTTTCTAAACGGTTGAGACGAATAAATATCTCATTTGGAAGCCTGTGCAATTTGTTATGACTTAGATTTAAATCAATTAGGTCTGGCAGAGCATCAAAAATATGAGGAGGTAGTGTTCTTATTTCATTGTAACTAATATCTAAATACAATAGCCCACTTTGACCTGCAAAAGTCAACTCCTCTACTTCTATTATATGATTTCTTTTTAATATCAAACACTGCATTCCGTGCACTTTTATGAACATCTGCCATGTAAGTTTAATGATAAGATTATCGGAAATTTCAACGAAGTGTAAGTTACCACTCAGTTGAATTTCTTCAGGGATAACTATTCCATTTTTTACTAATTTCAACGCTCTACGAAATATAGTCTTTGGAATTTTTAAACGTTGATAAATCGGATCCTGATTTACGAAATTTTCTGACACTGAAAGGTTCTCAGGAAGATAGGCTATACTGGAAGTCCATGGAAATGTTAAAATTCCTTCTACAGAACAATGTGACAAATCTAAGAGTTGCAGTTTGGGGAATTTTTCTTGTATGAGTGATTGTTTCACAATTCCTGTACATCCAAAAATGAAAATTTCTTTCAGTGAATCTGAAGATATAAATATTCTCTTTATGAGGTTCATTTCATCCTCACCCATAGCAATCATTGCTAAAGATGTAAGCTTATTGAAACCTTCACAGCAATTAGTGTGGGCATCGGTAATGAGCTGCACGCCATGCATTAGCAGAACTCGAGCCTTCGACTTTAAGAGCAACATATCTAGATCCGTAATACTAAGAATACACGAACCAAACTCTATATGGCTTATTACAAAAGTTGACAAAAACGGCTGTATTTGAATATCGAATGATATTTTGACATTCCTTTCGCAATGAAAGGTAAGAAGACCAACGACAAACGATTCTTCATGAAAAGTAAAGCTGTTTAAAATTTTGTTGATATTAAGATTGCATCTGGTTTCTACATCTCTATTTTGTACATACACATACCGATCTACTGTAGTCACGTGCTTTGAATCTAAATCATATTTTGGTGGTTCGTCGAACGTCAATACGTCATAGTCACAGCATTGTATAATTGGTAACATAAGTATCGTGCTTAACCAGGGTTGTAATGTCATCAAATTGAAATGCCAAAGAAAATGCATATTCAATATTAAAACATCTCAATGATATATTTAAATTATTTATGTATTCCAAGGAATGAGAACACACTTTTTTTACTATTCAATACGTGCTTAAAACAACATAAAGGCAGTCTACTCGCATGTCGCATATAATTTCAAATCAGAATTACAACTATACTGAGGGTGGTGAAAAAAGGCGACGAGTTCTTGGTACTTCGAGTCTTCTCTGAAAAAGAATACAAACTACAATATTACGTCAGGCAGAAAACGAACCCTTATTCACAAGGTAACATTTGAAGGAGAATACTTATTCACAAGTTAAAACTTGATAAAGAAATCCATACGTATTCACAGGGTAAAATTTTAAGGAGAACACTTATTCACACAAGGTAAGATTTGATAGTGAATACTTATTCACAAGGTAAAATTTGCATGAGAATACTTATTCACAAGGTAAAACTTGAAAGAGAACATTTATGCACAAGGTAAAATTTGAAGGAGAATACTTATTCACAAGGTAAAACTTGAAGGAGAATACGTTTTCACCAGGAAAAGTTTGAAGGAGAGCACTTATTCACTAGGTAAAACTTGCAGCAGAATTCTTATTTACAATGTAAAACTTGAAGAATATTTATTCACAAGGTAATCCTTGAAGGAGAATACTTATTCACACGGTAAAATTGGAAGGAGACTACTTAATATTCACAGGGTAAAATTTGAAGGAAAATACTTTTTCACAAGGTAAAACTTGATGGAGAAAAAGTATCACAAGGTAAAATTTGCAGGAGAATACTAATTCACTAGGTAAAACTTGAAGGAGAATATTTATTCACAAGTTAAAATTTGAAGGAGAATACTTATTCACAAGGTTAAACGTGATGGTGTATACGTATTTACAAAGTAAAATTTGAAGGAGAACATTTATTCTCAAGGTAAAATTTGATGAAGAATACTTATTCACACTGTAAAACTTGCAGGAGAATACTTATTCACAATGAAAAACGTGAAAGATTACACTTATTCACAAGGTAATATAGCTCTTCAACTGTTTCGGTTCTTCTGCTTTACATGCGTTCCTCGTAAAGGTAGATCCAGTAATTAAGCGCTTCGGATGCATGAAATTTATAAGGTGTTTTTTTTTCATATTTTATCTTCTATGTTATATACAATTACTCACCGTTAAAGATACTCTCGCAAATGATAAGTATTCGTGGCTTTATAACGTCGGAAGAAATGCATTTCCATTTAGTTGCCTCGACAGATTATTAATTGCATATACATGTTTGGGTGACAATTAACGCCTCCTGGTATAAAAATAACATACATGTAACAGAGATTTATGCTAATGTGTATTAAAGATTTATGATTTAAACGTTTGTTTGTACATGAATGCACACTGGCGTGGAAAGATTGAAACCATTTAAACGCGACAAAAAGTACAATGGTAAAACTACTAGTAATGACATTGGTTATAAAAAGTTTGTAGTTTTAGATAAACAGATAAAACGATGTGTATTTATTGCTGGTTTTCACTAACACAATGTGAGATTAATGAATTAAAAATAATAATAATTTTAGTTTTTAACGCTATGTACATGAAACGTTAGCAATTATTTGTGTTCAGTTGCATTCATTCAAATAGTCTTTAGTCCTTATATATATACATTTATTACATTCAATTAACAATTTCATTTTACCTTTTATTATCAAACTAAGCGAGCCCATGGTACTAGATTGTCAGACAAATATTAAGATACATAATCGGTGTTTATGTATTGGTTCGGTAAGTGCCAGAGTTCAAATACCGATGTTTTATGTTTTGATTCCTGTTCATCCTGCTCAAGACATGTGTATTTGACGTGAACATGATTCAACATGCTATGGTCTTATGCTACAATGAAATCCACCAAACTAATCCAACTAATGAGTTCAATAGTGTCAACCAAACCACGCCGTTATTAAAGTAAGTTATAGTTCAAAACATTATTCAACTATAAGCAAAAAACCGCCAAATAAGGGGGAAAATATGTCAGCTTTCGATTTTTCAAAAAGTCTAAAAGTTACCAGCAGATATTTCCAACTCTGCATGTTAGCTAGAATAACAATGACCATCTTCTTGAAAACCGGCAATTTTACGCATTGCTAAACTCCGTTTCGTAATGTTGCCTTTCACTCTAAGTTCTTCACAGGCATATGCCTCATATCCAAAGTTGAACCTAATTTGCTGCACACTAAAACAAGATAATCCTCTATGTTAAAACATCAACGATATATCTTCCGGGGAATGCTGGAACTTAGACGGTAATGTGGTTGACCAATGGAATTTCAAGACTTATACACGATTTAAAACCAATATCTTTAAGTCAGCTGTAGTCATTTTTGATTTATACTCTGTCCTGATATGAGCAACTATTTTATTGGGGCCACCGGAGGAAATAAAATTATGTGCGTCTGAGTTAGTACAGAACTCCAAAGGACTTTGCCACTCTATAATACCTGCAGCATAACGAACCGCAAACACAACTATAAGCTACGCAGTCATCAACAGTACCGTATCAATGAATGCTCGCAGTTACTTAAAACAAGCAAAAAGTACTTTACCTGTTGATATGCCGTCTTAAATCAGGTCGTTAGCTTTCTCGTTTAAATTGTTTTACGTTTGTCAATTTCCGGGCCTTTTATAAATTATAACTTACAATGCGATATTGTGTTTGCTCATTGTTGAAACCGTACAGTTACCTTTAATTGTTAACTTCAACGTCATTTCTCTGATGCGGAGTTGTCTCATTGGCAATCTTACCACTGTTCACATCATCTTGTTCTATACACTACAAACCAGTAAAAGTCTGAAATGGCCTATATCTGTACTCTGAATTGTACTCGACATTACTCGACCCCAGTCTTAACCATACTCGACTGTACTGATTTGTACTTGACCCTTATCTTTGCCATTGAAAATAGTCTGAACTATTACTCGACCAGTCTGAAACAGTCTTAACCCATTCTCGACCTGTACTCAACCTATTTTTTTTCAGTATAAACAATACTCGACCAGTCTGAACCATACTTGCCCAAATAACCTCTACTTTTTTTAAATTGTAACTGTTAAAATAAATTTCTTATTAACTGACATGACAGCAGCCACGATAAAATAAAGCTATATATAAAAACAGATTATTACATCCTTACATGATACTCAGATTCATCAAATAGAGATAGCTAAATCAAATTATCCTATATAATAATTTATGTCCTGTGGCTTTTTGTCCTGCGACTTTCTGTCCGTTTACCTAATTTAATTATATTAATTTTAAAGTTTTAGAGTTCTGTTTAAAAAAATCTTTTTCCTAAAAACCACACCTATACTGAGGGTATTAAACCTTCTTAAGGTGCTTCTTGTTTGGCATGTTTTTTTTAAACTTAATTTTCCTAAATTCCTAAATAAAAACTACATAGGTTTTATGGTTACATACAATAGTTATATAATTATCTCTTTAATGAGGTAACAACAGCCAACAAATCACTGAAATTAAAACACACATGTACTGGGTATTTAAACCTTATTAAAGTGCTTCTTGTATGCAATGTCTTTAAATTTGACAAAAATTATATAAATTTAATTGAAATAAACTTTTACTGTCACTTTGGAACACATTTCCTTTTTCAAAAGGTTATCAAGGATTGCTATGGAAGTTCTATTATCATGATTATATTAAATTCTTGGTTTAACAAAACAAAGGTGTCATTTTTTAAATTTATTAAGTTGCTTTATATACTATTTTATATATATTTTATAATAAAAAAAAATGTTCACTGCATTATTAACTAAACTCAACTGACACCATAAATCTAAACTAGGCTTAATTAATGGTGAAAATTATCCAGTTACCATAAACTATATCTGAAACATTCAAAAAAATTTGAATAACATTGAAAATATTAGTCACAAATCAGTTTTGACATTATTTGATCAGCTTGTTTTACTTTTATCTTAAAAGTGATATATATATATGTAAGTGTTGATGAATATGGTGTTGAAGTTATATTATGTTTATTGTGAAATTTTGATTTCAATGCTATATTGAATAGATTTTTAATTTCAAATTGTTGTTCAAATTTCTACCCAGGGGAAATAGCTGTTGTTAAAACAGTTCCTAAATTGATGAAATACAAGAGATAGATACAAAAAATAGGTCTAGGTTGGTTAAGACTTGGTCGAGTATGGTTCAGACTAGGTCGAGTATGGTTCAGACTAGGTCGAGCATGGATCAGACTAGGTCGAGCATGGTTCAGACGCGTATAAAATGGCTAAGTACTGGTCGAGTAAAGGTTGAGTACAAGTCCAGACTGTTAAGTATGGTTCAGACTACAGTCGAGTATTATCAAGTAAATTTCAGACCAATTCAGACTGGTCGAGTAAAAATCAGTAGTCGAGTACAGATATAGGTCATTTCAGACTTTTACTGGTTTGTAGTGATATTATATCGTAATATCTGCTGATGAGTACATTTCATACATTCAGATTGTCATAGAAAATACTTGAACTTCTACCATGCCGCAAGTAATACGTGCATAATTTGAATGTTTGATTATACAAACCAAGAAAATATTACCGACAGAATCGCGTGAATTCAACACGAAGAGATACCAGTGTCTTCCACATGGTAAGTGTCTTATGCAATGCGTGCATTGACAACCATGCAAATTCAGACTGCCAATTTGTCAAAATAGCCAATATAACACATTCGGTAGGTTTGCAGTTCAGAAAAAATATCTTAATATCCAAGGCTACTAAAATAAGTCGATTGCGATTTGACGGAGATACAGAAACACCGAATCGATCAACCAATTGGTGTTGGTGGCCACTGAATTCGTACGCGTGTATTGTCGATATCAGTCGTTCCTCTTCATAAAATATACATTCAGTTTTTGCTTTATGGGGTTACCGTGTAAATAAAGTCTGTATAATATGAACATGATTGCGTGTGACGTATCAAGTTCTATACGTAAAACGCTATTATAATAGTATGTTTATGTGGTACTGAAGTATTTAAACAGTTTTGATTTGAATGTTTTGTTAAATTGTGACTGTTTTGCTGAGTGTAAATTCGCATTGCTATAACACGTGTCACGGTATTTTGCTATCCAAAATTCTTGTATTTAGTCTTGATGTTATATTTGTTATTGTCAAATGTCTTATCGTTTGTAGTTGTAATTCTTACTTTTTTCTGTTCTATTTAGTGTGAGTGTAAAGATAATTTATCACCCAGTTCATTTATAAGATTTTAGTTTGGGTCAACTAAACTTGCACTATGTATTTGTTTTTCAGTTTGATTTAGAAGAAATACCGACATAGCTAGATAATACAATTAATTATCTAATTAATAACACAATTTTATATAAATAAGTATTGTAATTTTCATTGTTATTAAATACATGTAACATCAGTATTACAAACCTAATCTTAAATTCTATGCTATTTTTTGGAAATTTTTAGAAATTTACCTGTGACGTCACTTTTGTGCGTCGATCTATTCGGCTGACATACAATACGTTGTTCGGCTGAGTTGTTTTTATGTGCTGATCTAGGTTGTTTTACGTATTCGTTTTTATTCTGTAGTTAGTCACCACTTCGGTGTTAGATATAAGAAGGTGTGGTATGAGTGCCAATGAGACAACTCAACATGTATATCAATTATATGGTCATTTTTATATTTTATAAATTTACTGTTTGCAAAAATATGAATTATTCTAAATACTAAATATTTTCTTATCCCAGGCAGATAACCAAGCCGTATTTGGCACAACTCTTTGGAATTTTGGGTCATCCACGCTCTTCATCTTTAGGTCTGGCACTTTTGATAACTATTAGCTTGTCGTAATTTTCTATTAGATTGTTTATTTGTGTGTTTCTCTGTCCTGTATGTTCTTCCATTTATTTGTATTGTAGTCCTGTTATGTAATGTTGTCATTTTAGTGTTATATTTGGCATTGCCATTGAGGCGGGAGGTTTGGCTAGCCACAAGGCCAGGATCGGCCAACCATTGTTTCTTGGAATGTCCTGTGCCAAGTCGGGAAGATGGCTATTGTTATCTTATGGTTCGTTTCTGTGTGTGTTGCATTTTAGTGTTTCTGTTGTGTCTTTGTTCTCCTCTTATATTTGATGTGTTTCCCTCAGTTTTGGTTTGTGACCCGGATTTGTTTTTTTTCAATCGATTTATGAATTTCGAACAGCGGTGTGCTGCTGTTGCCTTTATTTGCGACATGTTCGATGTCAAGATTTCAAGAACTTAATACACTTTTGGTTGTCAAATTTTA